TCCCTTCAGGTGTGTAAGAGTTTGTCATGTTAGGTGTTTTTCTGTTGCTGTTTTGTTTTGTTTTATTCCTGGCAAGCTGCAATGTAACGTTAGGTTTTCTTAGGTGATATCTCTCTCCCCCTCTACCCTCAGTTCCACCAGAGGGGGACTCCAGTGCCCCTTCACTGCTGTATCCTAGGCTGGGCACACAGGTGACCCAACAACCAACAGTGGAACACCCGAGTTCACCGGTGGGCTCCTGAGAACGCCACACTTCCCAGGAGTGTGGCAGAGGGGCCAGGCAGAGGCGCAGGGACACGGTATCCACCCCTCAGATCCCCCAGGCCTCAGGTTCATTGGGAGGTGGCCCAGAGGAGTGAGTGACCTTTGATCAGTCGAGGAGTCAGGGCGCCAGCTGCCCAGGCCGCCCAGGATGGCGCTCACTTTCGAAGATGGTGAGGCTCTCCAAATGGGTGGCCCGTACAGGAGGTGGCCTTGGGATAAGGACACATTTCTCTAAAAAGCCACTGGGGGTTCCTCAAAAAGTTTGGAAGAATTACCACGTGACCCAGCAGACCTATTTCCAGGTGCATACCCCAGGGAACCAAAAAGCAGGTTCGCACGGAGACCTGCAGACACATCCTAGCAACACAACTCACGGGAGGCGTAAGTAGAAATGACAGTATCTGTCGAAGGGTGAACGCGCAAACACATGTGGTCTATACATGCCCTGGAATATCATTCAGCCACACAAACGCGTGAAGCACTGATGTGCCTGACAATGCGGTTGAACCTTGGCAACGCTCTAGGTGAAGATGCCAGGCAAAGACCACACAGACTGTGATTCCATGGCATGACAAGCGCCATGTAGGGGACTCCAGGGAGACAGAAAGCAGGCTGGCGACCAGCAAGGGCCGGGAAGGAAGGAACGGGAGAGACCGCTGATTGTAAGGTTTTATTTTGGGATGATGCTTTGGAACTAGGTGGAAGTGATGGTTACACAACATTGTGGATGCACTAGAAGACACTGAAGTATACACTTTACTATTAGGTGAATTCTTTTTTTTTTTGAGTTGAGTCTCACTCTGTCAACCAGGTTGGAGTGCAGTGGCATGCTCATGGTCACCGCAGCCTCGACCGGCTGGGTTCAGGTCATCCTTTCACTTTAACCATCCAAGTAGCTGGAACTACAGGCATGCGCTACCACACCTGGCTAATTTTTTGATTTATTGTAGAGACGAGTTCTTGCCAAGTTGCCCAGGTGGAGTCTCAAACCCCTGGTTTCAGGCAATCCTCTCACCTTGGTCTCCCAAACCATTAGGTGAATTTCAGATGGAAGAAAGTGGGAGGGAGGGAGGGAGAAGTCACCAGAAACGTTAGCGGGCAGTACTAAGCCCGCCGTTCACTCTTCCCAGGCAGGGTTGTGGTTTTGCACCCACTTGTGCAATGCCTGCTATACCCCAGAAGTCAACGGAATCCACAGAACACAGGGACCACCGGCTCCCAAGCTGACCCCATTCAGTGCCACCCCAACACATACACGCTTATATATTCAAGTTTCACAAACAATACTTGGCTCTATGATGGGGGCCACGCTGTGATTTCAGACACACCCACTAAATGGATTTTGCCTATTTAGTTAACTGGACACAGTCACGTAGGGACATGGCAACACTAAGAGATTCAAGAATTCTTAAATGCACAACTAAATACATCCAGACGACCGAGCAGCCTCTAGCACTGAGAAATGAGCCGTCAAGCCATGAAAAGCCATGGAGCAATCTTCTGTGCCGATCACTCCTGAAGGAAGCCAAGCCCACGTACTGCAAGATTCAACTCAACATCCTGGAGAATGCAGAGCTAGAGACAGAAAGACCAGGGTTCGCCAGTGGCTGGGGGCTGAGGGTGCAGGGGTCGAGCAGAAGGTTGTGTTTTTTTTTTTTTGAGTTGGAGTCTCACTCTTGTTGCCCAGGCTGAAGTGCAGTGGCTGCTACCGGCCACCGCAGCCTTGACCTGCCAGGCTCTGGCGATACTTCCGCCTCAGCCTTCCAAGTAGCTGGAATTACAGGCGCACGCCACCATGCCCAGCTAATTTTTTTGATTTATTGTAGATGAGGTCTCGCCAAGTTGCCCAGGCTGGTCTTGAATCTGTGGGCTCAGGCAATCCTCTCACCTTGGCCTCCCAAAATGCTGGGAATATAAGTGTGAGCCGCTGCACCCGGCCTGAGCAGGTTTTTAGGGCGAAGCCGTTTGGTAAGAAACCATGACAGGTAGATGCCATTACACACTTGTCCAAATCCACAGAAGGTGCAACACCGAGTGACCCTCATGTCAAGCGTGGACTATGGGTAAGGGCGTGTCAGAGGTCACTGTTGTGCCACTCTGGTGGGGACATTGACAGTGGGAGAGGCTATGCATGTGTGGGGTGGATGGGAAACACCATCTATTTAAAAGGGAACAAGGCCGGGCATGGTGGCTCACAGCTGTCATTCCATCACTTTGGGAGGCTGAGGTGGGAGGATCACTTGAGCCCAGGGGTTTGAGGCCAGCCTGGGCAACATAGAAAGACCTTATCTCTACACACACACACACAGTTTTTTTTTTTTTAATTAGCTGGGCGTAGCCAGGCTTGGTGGCTCACACCTGTAATCACAGCACTTTGGGAGGCAGAGGCGAGAGGATTGCCTGAGCCCAGTGACTCAAGACCAGCCTGGGCAACTTGGCGAGACCTCATCTCTACAATAAACTAAAAAATTAGCCAGGCATGGTGGCACACGCCTGTGGTTCTGGCTACTTGGAAGGCTGAAGGCAGAAGGATCATCTGAGCCCAGCAGGCTGAGGCTGCGGTGGCCGTGAGCATACCGCCACACTCCAGCCTGGGAGACAGAGTGATATGATACTCTAACTTAAAGGGGGGGGGGCAGAAAGTACTTAAATGAGAGAACATCTTCCTAATATTGCAGAGACAGTCACAAGACAACTTAAATGCACTGGCCTCTACACTTGACTGTGAGCTGGTTGTTGTTATTTTCATTTAAATCTCTCTTCTCTCTTGAGCCTCAGAATCTTGTTTCTTTAAAATTCTTTTCGTGCCAGGCTCGGTGGCTCAGCCTGTAATCCTGCGCCTTTGGGAGGCTGAGGTGAGTGGATTGCCTGAGCTGTGGGTTCGAGACCCGCCTGGGCAGCGAGACCTCATCTCCACAATAAATCAAAAAATCAGCCGGGCGTGGTAGCACATGCCTGTAATTCCGGCTACTTGCAAGGCTCAGGCGGAAGGATCACTGGAGCCCAGCAGGTCGAGGCTGCGGTGGCCGGGAGCGGCCACTGCACTCCAGTCTGGGTGACAAAGTGAGACTCCAACCCCAAAAAAATAAAATTCTTTTTTGAGTCAGGGTCTCACTGTTACAGGCTGGAGGCCAGTGGCACAATCACAGCTCACCACAATCTCAACCTAGGCTCAGGCCACATTTCCGCCTCAGCCTACTGTGTAGCTGGGACCACAGGTGCATGTCACCATGCTGGCTAACTTTTTTTTTTGTAGAGACGGGGTCTCACTATATTGTCCAGGCTGTTTTCAAACTCCAGACCTCAAGCGATCCTCCCGTTTCAGTCTCCCAAGGTGCTAAGATGACAAGCCTGAGATACCACGCCTGGCCTAAAAAAAAAAAAATTCCTGCTCTCTTTCATGGCCCTTGCTAAATCTCCTTTTCATTCGCTCATGTGCCTATAGAAAAACAGACATCTCACTGTAAACATTTGAGTCATAAAGGCAGGCCATAACTTAACACAGATCCAAAATGCAAATCAGGATTCTGCAAGTAAAATTCCGATGTCCACACTTACTTCAAACAGAAAGCTTGAGCCTAGAAAGTCAGAGGATTTTAACATCCCAAACACGACAGGCACTCACTTGGGAGAGGCCTGTGAGTACAGGAAGTCACATTTATAAATGTTCAGTATCCAAGAGAAGCGTCCCCAGTAGCAACTGGAAGTCAGTTGTCCCAGAGAAAACATGTGCATGGGTGACGCTGCGGTCAGCAAGAAATGTGTCATGTGCTTAAAGCTGGATTGAAGACACCATAGCTGAATACTTTTTGTCAACAAGACACAAGTCAACCCTTACAATCAGGCCACCTCGCCTAGAGGGACGTGATGGCATGCAAAACTTACAACCACTTGTGAAACTGGGAAAATTCTTGAGGTCCAAGTAGGTAGGTCTAAAGTCTTTTATTAACTGAATGAGATCCCGTGTTTGCAAGACTAACTCCCAAGTCCCCAACAGACAAAAGAGCCTTCTAATTTGTAACAATATATATGAATAAATCTGTACTCAGAACAATAAAATGGAATGTCCAGTGAATGTGTCATACTCCAGGCATGCGACATGAAAGTTCCACATCACACACATTCTATGGGCTTGAAGTGTGGCTCTTGTTTGGAAGACTTTGCATATGTAATTAATAACAGCCTGGAATCACACATATCCCCCCTCTGAGCAAAATGGCTACGTACGCATGGCCTGGAATTTTGTCAAGCAGAAACAAACACACACACAATGGATCTGGAGAACAGCAATTTTTCAAGATTGTGACTTAAGGTTCAGATGATCAGATAAGCCACACCAAGATAACACTTTCCAAAAGAAAGCTGTGTCATCAGGTGGGGGGGTCGCATCCATATTCCCAGCGTGTTACAATGCCCTCCTTTGAGTATCTTACGAAGCGTGTTTTGTTTGGAGGCTGAATGGGCTGGCTTTCTTCTGTGCATTTTATTAAAACTTGAAAGCTGTGGCTTGCTGCCACCGATGACGCCTACTGGGTTCCAGCAGCCCAGTGTTCAAATGTGACTCGCTAGCAATCCACCCAGCTAGACATCGGTCATCTTGACGTGGCAGGACTTTCAGCAAGTCCCAAGTTCGTATCAGAAAGGATTTTCTACCGCTACAGAGCACATAAAGGTTCTTTGTGCAATGGCTGGAAACACGACAGATCTTTTTTCACACAGTAAGAATTGACAAATAGTTCACTGAGTGAACCAAATACTTTATTTTTTAAAGGTAGATAACACCAAAGTACTATGTGGTATCTATATTTATTGCCAAAAAAAAAAAAATCACTGAAATTTTCTGAACACCAAATGAATAAAGTCAATCAATGGTTACGACTATAATTTTCAACCAATATATAGATTTGCGTTCAAGGTCTAGGTTTTATTTTTACACAATATTATTCACATGAGTCCCCGGTGCCCATTTATTGTCAAAACAGGAAGTCTTGATAGTTGAGCCCAGCTTTGTCTTGATCTCAAAGAAGACACAGCAGTCAACCCAGAACTCTCTCTGGTTTGCAGCCTGAGTTCTAGAGATGTCTTCTGTTGTGGTAAAACAGATTGTGTCTTTGAAAAATAAAATTGGACTTTAAATTCTTTTGAAAAAGTTCTGGTGCCCGAGCCTTCCAGCACTATGGTGCCCAGACATACACAGATAGACATTTCCAAGCCTACCACCACTGGGACCCCCAAAAAGGCCCCACTTTGAGGGTTCCATGTTGGAGGTTTTTAAGAACTACACTAGCCCCAAGCAAAGGCAGTGGAGGAAACAATCCATCTCTTTTTCTGTTTAAAAAATAAAAGTGAAAGTGCACTGGCAAATGGGAAAATGACACCAATCACAGAGTTACAGAAAATGGTTTTATAAATTCCCTGTTCAAAATTATGTTTGAAGGAGTTTAAGACCAGAAGGAGGTTATAAAAATGGTGACTACAATTACCCTATACGAAAAAACGCCCTTCACGTGAAGCAGGGCTGGGCATCGGCACAAAGAAACAGGTGAAGGTAAGCCAGAGACAAAGCCAGCTCGACTCTTCTGGCATGCTCAGGGATGTGTGTCTGTGGGTGTCTGTGGGTGTTCATAGCCCCTCCTTGTACTTAAGAAAAAATTAAGGAATTAAAACGAGCATGTGTGCTAAGCAAGTCTGCAGTGGCAGAGTTGAGAAGCCAAGCCCATGAAGTCTATAGGGCAAGATTTTTGTCATGGGGGGTGAGGACAGGTGGGTAAGACAGTAGGCACCAAAGGCTGGTTCAGCCAAGTTCAAAAATAAGGCAGCCCATGGCTTCTGTTTGAGACCACCAGTAAGGCCCACTGAGGCAGGAAAAGGCACCAGCTGATGGCAATCACAGGAAGATATTCAGATGGGCAAGGCCCACAGTCAGATGGGGTGACTCAGGGTCACGGGCAGGTGGGAAACCCTTGAGCCAACACTCAAGGAACCGTCTTTGCATGTCCCGGGCACGACTCCAAGCAGCAGTGTCTGGGGTTTGGAGGTTTGTTAGTTTTGCGACATCCCCCCCAAGAGAAGACACAAGGGCAGGCCCCCTGGAGAGACAAGGCCACACGAGCAGAAACTCCACCAGGTGTGGGCTAGCTGAGGGTCTGAGAGGCCCTCCCGTGGCACCCTGCTCCCTCCCGGTCCGGCCGTGTCCTACAAGCGCTTGTAGGTGCCCAGGAGAGCTTTGCAGTTGGGACAGTAGTGGTCCACGTCCTGCAGGGCGTCCACGCAGAAGGGGATGAAGCAGCAGCCTGCTATGCACCTGTGGGGACAGAAAAAGCCACACACGGAACATGTCATCGACCGCAGCAGCACGGACAGCGTCCCCGAACACGTACGCCCATGCCCTTACCCCAGGAGCCCGTGCACGCCAACTCATTTGTCAGGGTTCTTGCCGATGCTACTGAGGATCTCGAGATGAGACTATCTCGGATGACCCAGGAGGGCCCCCCAAGCTCAACGACTGGTGTCCTCAGAAGAGGGGAGGACACAGAGATAGAGAGGAAAGACCCCTTGTGGAGATGAAGGCAGAGACTGAGGAATGTGGCCACAAGCCAAGGGATACCTGGAGCCACCAGGAACTGGAAGAGGCAAAGGATTCTCCCCGGGATCCTCTGGAGGGAGTATGGCCCTGCAACACTTTTTTTTTTTTAAGTTGGAGTCTCCTTCTGTCACCCAGGCTGGAGGGCAGTGGCACCATCATGGCTCACAAGGCCTTGACCAGCTCAGGTGATCCTTCTGCCTCAGCTTCCTGAGTAGCTGGGACTACAGGTGCATGCCACCACGTCCAACTAATTCGTTCAATTTTTTTGGTAGAGGCGGGGTTTTGCCATGTTGTCCAAGCTAGTCTTGAACTCCTGGTTTCAAGGGATCCTCTCGCCTCGGCCTCCCAAAGTGCTGGGATTCCAGATGTGAGCCACTGCACCCAGGCCCTGCCGACATTTTGATTTTGGATTTCTGGCCTCCAGGACTGTGAGAGAGCAAATTTCTGTTGTTTAAAACCACCAGGTCTGTGTTCACTTGTGGCAGCAGCCCTAGGAGAGTAACACATAGGCTGAGGCCAAGGCTCCTCCCACAGACAGCCAGTCCTGGGGTTTGCAGTTTGTTAGTTTTTTGTGACATTTTCCTCCCAAAAGAAGACACAAAGGTGGGCCCCCCAGAGAGACAAGGCCACCAGAGCAGAACCCCTACCAGGTATGGGCTGGGTAAGATCAGATGGACTTCCTGTCACCCTGGCTGCCAGTCCTGGGTCTTTCAGGAATCTTTCTAAGTCTTAGACTGGGGTTGATGAACTTTTTTTTGCAAAGGGCCAGACAGTACACACTTCAGCCCCAATGGGCACGGGGTCCCTGTTTCCCCTGGCAGGCTATGCCCTTGTAGTGAGGGAACAGGCACAAGCAATCCACAAACACAGGGGCATGGCTGGGTGCCAATAAAACACTGGGGACTGGCTGGCCTAGGGCCCCCAAATTCACTATGGAGAGGCTGTTTCTCACAGCGACCCCCACAAAGTTCCCCAGGTCACACCTCTTCAGCTGCATAACCCGCCACTGGCACACACGGTGGGAACTTCATATGACCTCACAAACCGTGTTGCCAAAAGTGTAGTTAAAATTCAACATCTTACAGGAAGTTGTTGGTTGACATAAAGCAGGATCAGATAGAAACATCCTGATGAGGAAACCATCTCATTAAAGAAGTTTCCTCCTATTGTCTAAGCTTGCCCGAGCTCAAGCAAGAGGGCGGTCTATTTAGCAATAGTCCTAACCTGTGGCTTCCGGGCACCGGCCAGCTCCAAGCAGCACAGCAGACACACCTGGTTTAGCCTCAGCAATCCCAGGGGTGGGTGTTATTACCCCCAGCTCACAGATGAGGAAACCAAAGTACAGAGAGGTGAAGTCACTAGCCCACAATCACACAGTCAGTGGGAGACAGGATCTGAACCCACTCTACCACGTTTAAGAATGCAGTGAAGGGAGGCACAGAAAGGCAGCCTCCATTGCAAAAGCCAGATCGGTAGAGGCCAACGCCAAGGCAAGTTTCTGTCTTTCCTTGATTTCAAAGATAGAATTCAGTTTTAATACAAATCTCCAAAAGCGATTAACTTTCATCGAGCACTTTCTGCCCAGGGAATCAAAATGACAGCCACGACCCATGGGAAGACAGAGAGGGAGGTGCCGAGACACCTGTCTCGTCCCCTCCCTTCCCCACTCAGCATGGGACCTCGGGAAGTTAATCACGCTCTCTGGGGCTTTGAGCCTCTCTTTACAGTTGGGAAGGGGAATACTGTTCCTTCTGGACCTCGTGTCTCCAGCAGACCATGAGGAGGAATGTGCTGGGCATATACGGTAGAAGATTCCCGAAAGGAAACTCACAAGTGAGGTTTCCTTCAAAGAAGAAAGAGGCCTTCAGGGTTTTCCAAGTGACTCATATGGCCAGGAATAAGGAGATCACCTTTACCTGCCTGGGGAAAAAAATGTCATTGTGCTTCCTCCCAGAACAGAAATTACGACCTCTTTAAATATGACACCCCTGGTACTGACATAAATATTTACGTAATTCCCTGGCATGAGCAATGAAAAATATTTGGGGTCATAAAAGGATAAGAAGTTTTGAGGCAATTACTACGAAGAATTGTAATATCAAGATTGTTTAAAGCATCTCAGAGTCAAGCAAGCATTGTACTTACGTCATGAAAATCTAGAAGGAAAAGCAATTCCTGAGAATATGACCCTGCCCAGATGTGAGCAGCTGGCACGTCTGTCCCCACATGCAGCCAGCGGTTTGAGCAGACAAGCAAGGAGAGATGACAAGACAGCAACTTCCAGGCATGAACACGCTTGAGAGCAGTGGGAAGGTTTTGCCTTCCCCAAGGGGCACTTCTGCTCACAACACTGGGGGGAGTGCCCCTGCCATCAAGTGGGTGGGAATCAGGGGTGCTGCTCAATATCTTACGATGCACAGGACAGCTCCTCACCCCAGCACAGAATGATCCCACCCAAAATGTCAATCATGGGGCAGCTGAGAGGTGCCCACTCCCACCCCTAGAAGGGCAGGCGACCCGGGCCAGGCAGGCAGCAGACTCACCCAAGCAGGCACAGGCTCCCGCACGACAGCCAGGTCAGGGCCCCGGCGTTGTAGGACAGCTGTGTCACGATCATCTTGCTGCAAGAAGGACAGCACATCTGGACGGGGCGGTCGAAGAAGGAGACAGGCTGCTGCACGTAGACCGTCTGCACAGCAACTGCAGAAGGGAGACGGACAAGATGGCTACTCAGGACACAGGCTCACGACGACGCCATTACACGAAGAGACAGGGAGCGCAGAAATGCGCGTACACCCATGCTCACAGCAGCGTCACTCGCAAGAGCTGAAAGGGAAAGGTCCCCAGGTGCCCATCAATGAATGGATGGAGAAACAAAATGGTGCCCACCCATCCAGTGGAATACTAGTCAGCCTTCAAAGGAAGGCCATTCTGATAACTGCTTCCATGTGGATGAACCCTGAGGACATTAGGTTCAGTGACATAAGCCAGTCACAGAAGGACAAATACTGTATGAGTCCACTTAGAAGGTGTCTCTAGGCCGGCTCAGTGGCTTAGCCTGTAATCCCAGCACTTTGAGGTGAGTGGATTGCCTGAGCCTGTGGATTTGAGACTACCCTGGGCAACTTGGCAAGACCTTGTCTCTACAATAAATAAAAAATTAGGCTGGGCTCGGTGGCTCAGCCTGTAATCCCAGCACTTTGGAAGGCCGAGGCGAGTGGATTGCCTGAGCCCGTGGGTTCGAGACCCACCCAGGCATCTTGGCGAGACCTTGTCTCCACAATAAATCAAAAATTAGCCGGGCATGGTAGCGCACGCTTGTAGTTCCGGCTACTTGGAAGGCTGAGGCGGAAGGATCGCCTGCACCCAGCAGGTTGAGGCTACAGTGGCCAGGAGCGTGCCATTGCACTCCAGTCTGGAGGAGAGTGAGACTCCAACTCAAAAAAAAAAAAAATTCAGCTGGGAATGGTAGTGCATGCCTGTAGTTCCAGCTACTTGGAAGGCTGAGGCAGAAGGATCGCCAGAGCCCAGCAGATCAAAGCTGGGGTGGCTGTGAATGTGCCACTGCTCTCTAGGCTGGGCAACGGAGTGAGACTGCAACTCAAAAAAAAAAAAAGAAGGTGTCTCTAGAGTAGTCATATTCAGAGGCAGAAAGTAGAACGGCAGTCGCCAGGGGCTGCCCCCGGAGAGACGAGGGAATTAGTGTTTAATAGAGTTTCAGTTTGGGAAGATGAGGAAGATAGATGGTGGAAATAGACCAGTGGTGAAGGTTATACAAGAGGGTGAATGGACTTACTGCCACTGACTTGAACTTAAAATGGTTAAAGTGGAAAATATGTTGTGTATTTTACCATAACAAAAAATAAAAAGGGGTCAGGCACAGTGGCTCACGTCTATAATCCTAGCACTTTGGGAGGCTGAGGTAGGAGTATCACCTGGGCCTAGGAGTTCAAGACCAGCCTGGGCAACATAGTGAGACTCCGTTTCACAAAAAATAAAAATAAAAAGTAAGCTGGGCATAGTGGTGCATGGCTGCAGTCCCAGTTACTCAGAAGGCGGATGTGGGAGGATCGCTTCAGCCCAGGAGTTTGAGGTTGCCGGTGAGCCATGAGTGTGCCACTGCACTCCAGCCTGGGTGACAAAATGAGACGCCGATTCACATAAAGAAAAAAAGAAAAACAAAAATGACAAAAAGGGAAGAAGCAACAGTGGGCAGACTCCCAGAATATTGCCTGGAGGCTCTTCCACAAAGGAGATAAGAAAAGGACTGTGTGTCCCAGGAGGAGGATGTGGCTGGGCTCAATCAGGCATTCAGACTCAACCATTCAGGAAGTGTGAGGGGAGCTTATTAAGAATGCAGATCCCCGGGCCCTGCCCAGAGTCTGATTAAGAAGGTGGGGGCAGGGACCCCAACCTGCTTTTAAACTTCCTGAATGGCTCTACTGAGGCACTCTGCAGAGAGTGACTAGAGATTAGCCTCAACCTTTTCTACCCAGAGATGTGTGGTGGCCTGACCTGGGAGGCGGGGCCATGGGGAGTGACTGCTAACAGTATGGATGTCATTTCCAGGGTGCCAGAAACGCTCTGGAATTAGATAGTGTGGATGGTTGCCCAACTCTGCAAATATGCTGAAAACTACTGAATTGCAGACTTCAGAAGAGTGAACTTCATGGTACCTCCATAAAGTTGTTATTAAAAATACGGAGGTGCTGGGCATGGTGGCTCACGCCTACAATCCCTGCACTATGGGAGGTGGAGGCAAGAGAATTTACTGAGCCCAGGGGTTCGAGACCAGCCTGGGCAACGCACCGAGACCTCGTGTCTACAATAAATCAAAAAATTAGCCAGGCGTGGTGATGCACACCTGTGGTTCCAGCTACTTGGGAGACTGAGGCAGAAGAATCACCTGAGCCCAATAGGTTGAGGCTGCGGTGGCCGTGAGTGTGTCACTGTACTCCAGCCTGGGCGACAGAATGAGTCATCGACTCAAAACAAACTATGGAGGTGACAGAGTAAGATGATTATTATAATGAGCCTCACCCTGTGCCTGGAAGCTCTTCGTAAACTACCCTTTTGTTATAGACCCCTTGATGAGCCCCAGTGCCCAACGATTTTGAGTTGACCAAGCCAGGAAATGTAGACCCTGCTGGCTAAGATAAGTTGGCAAACTGTGTGGATACACGGATGAAGACACAAAATAATGCCAGGAGGCTGGGCGTAGTGGCTCATGCCTGTAATACCAGCATTATGGGAGGCCAAGGTGGGAGGATTTCATGAGCCCATGAGTTCAAGACTAGCACTAGGCAGTATAGCAAGATCTTGTCTTTACAAACAAACAAACAAAAAAAAAATCAAAAGGTTAGCCAGATGTAGTGGTGCGCGCCTGTAGTCCCAGCTACTCAGGAGGTGAGGCAGAAGGATCACCTGAGCCCACGGCTGTGGTGAGCCATGATCATGCCTGGGTGACAGGGTGAGATCTCTACTCAAAAAAAAGAAGGAAAAAAAAGAAAAGAATTCCAGGAAGTGAGTACTATGTGAAAACCTGAATGGACTGTCCCAATAACCAGGAGAAAACCCAGAGCAGGGAAGTCATCAAGCACTGTGGTTACAACTTTCTTCTGTTCCTTTTCACGTTGTCAGAATGTTGTCTATACAACATATGTGTGGGGAAAAATGAAATACCAGCCAGAGTAAACTAAACTTAGTAAGCATGGAAAAGACCCCCCCCTTCAGAAAAGCAGTACAGAAGCCCTGCTTTAGCACTTACATGAACATTTTTAAACTAAATTAAATCTTAAAACTTTTATTTTTAGAGACAGAGTCTTGCTCTGTTGCCCAGGCTGGAGTGCAGTGGCGTGATCATAGCTCACTGCAGCCTCGACCTCCTGGGCCCAAGCAATTCTGGCCTCAGCCTCCCAAGCCGCTGATATTACAGATATACGCCATCAGGTCTGGCCTTTTTTTTTTTTTTTTGGTAGAGTCCAGATCTTGCTGTGTTGCCCAGGCTGGTCTCAAACTCCTGGCCCTACTGAGTAGCAGGGATTACACGTGCAAGCCACTGTACCTGGCTCATAAATTTTGTTAAATACTGTTTTAGTTCAAGAGTAAATTATTTGTGGATCACGGTGTGATCAAAAAGAGTCTAATAAAGTCAGTCTCTCACCCTCTTCTACCTCATGGGACAAAATAACTCAACAATGACAATAACAGTTCGCTTTTACCACATGATTACTCAGTGCCTGGCACACACAGCTTCATTTCATCTTGCAAGCCATTGACAGAGGAACGGGGTGAATCCTATTATACAGGCAAGGAAGTGGCGGCACAGGAGTCAGGTGAACAGTCAGTCTGATTCACAGGCCCCTCTCTGAGCAAAGATGTCTTCCTGAACTACCTGTGACACTGAGTCACTGACATACCCAAGCACACTAGGGTGGCAAGAACCCCAAAGGGCAGAGATGCTGGAGCTGCTCAAAGGCAGAGAAGCTATCCCATGGACGTGAGCTGGCATGAAAACACGGTCAACCATTTCTCACCCGTGGCCATTTCTTCTTCCCGTTTCTATCCTGGCCCAGCCTCGGGACGGGGGGTCCCCACCCAACCTCAGCAGAAAGGGTGGGGGCCCTTGAAACACAAACTTGTACTCTCAGATTTCCCTGGGAAGGTTGACTGTGTCCTGGGAGACGTACCACACAATTACGGCAAACACGGAAAGACCCTAGCCTGTGCTTTATGACAGCCAACGTGGAGTCTGAAAGACTGTATGTATGTGGGCAGGCGTGGTGGCTCATGCCTGTAATCCCAGCACTTCGGGAGGCTGGGGTGGGAAGATTGCATAAGCAAGGAGTTTGAGACCAGCATAGGCAACATAGTGAGACCTCATCTCTACCAAAAAAAAATTTAAAAATTAGCCAAGTGTGGTGGCGTAAGCCTGTCGTCCCAGCTACTCAGGAGGCTGAGGAGGAGGATCTCTTGGGCCCAGGAAGTCAAGGCGGCGGTGAGCCACAAGCGTGCTACCACACTCCAGCCTGGGTGACAGAGAGACACAGACTAAAAAAAACTAAAATAAAAGACGATGTATGCAGTTCCAGGGCAAGGGGGTAAAGCTAGCTGGACTGGCAACTTCTCTGAATCCTTGGCAGGGCCACTTTGGTCACTTTCCTGATTCTCAGAGTCCACAAGACCAGGGTGGAGGGCCAAGGAGCGGCCAGGGGGCTCAGCGGGGAGGAGGGAACACACACGTACTTGCATTGGCATTAGGGACGGGCACTGGCTGGGTGTAGTACGAAGGGGGGTTCACACCCTTCCCATCCGGGCCGGTCACGAGCCCCGTGGCTGGCCCTGGCATGGGGGCTGGTGGTGTGGGGTAGTAGCTGTTAACCGTCTCTTCATAGGACGGGGGCGCGGATGGCGCCGAGGAGGGCCCGGCAGCTGCCTGGTAAGGTCCTGGAACCGACATTTTACCTAAAGCAAAAACAGAACACACCGGATGAGAAATCTAGCTAGTCCCCTCCTTCCCTTCTCCCCATCTCTCATCCTTTCTCCAGCAGACAGAAAATCAGAGGAAATGACTTAGGTCCAGATTGGTCCATAAGCCAGAAAGGAGGATTCTCTAAAGACAGATGGGAAGATGAATAATAATTATCCTACACTGCCAAAGCCTAGAAAATCCCAAGGGACAATGTCCACCAAATATGAATGCTTTCTTCTTTACATCGCAAACCATCACCCAATAGTGACCCATTTTTTTTATATCTAGTATTTCTTCCTTAAAAACAAACAAAAAACCACAGTTTTCACTTACTGTTTCGAGTAACAGAAGAGACAAAGGCATTCAAAAACCAACTGCCAACGATCACAATTATAGTCCTGAGCAAAGAGATGTCCGAAGCCAAGAAATGCACACCACATGACACTTAAATAAACAGCACCATGAAAGTCAGAAACAGGCAAAACGAATCCATGAGGCCAGACATCAGGAAGGCAGTTAGTTATTCTTGGGAGAGGGAGAAGGATCTGGAAAGCGTTGCGTGGAGGGGGTTTCCATGGTGAGGAGAGGGGCTGGTCATGTTCTCTTTTCTTCACTTGGGGGTTGGTTACACAGGTATGTTCACTTTGCAAAAATTCATCTGGGTGCGGCGGCTCATGCCGTAATCCCAGCACTTTGGAAGGCTGAGGCGGGAGGATTGCTTGAGGACTGGATTGATTGGGGAGGAGGATTGCTTGAGACTAACCTGAGCAACAGAGTGAAAGCTCGTCTGTACAAAGAAAATAAATAAACAACTAAAATTTACAAATTAGCCGGGTGTGGTGGCGTGCACCTGCAGTCCCAGCTAATTCACAGGCTGAGGCGGAAGGACTGTCTGAGCCCGAGGCTCAGGCTGTCACGAGCCATGATCACGCCACTGCAGTCCGGCCTGAGCAACAGAGACTCCAACTCAAAAACAACAACAACTCGAGTTGTACAGTTAAGGCAGGTGAACTTTTTTGTATGTCATGTTATAGTTCTAAAACAACAAAATGCACAAACATACCCGTTCCCATTTTGAAAAATGAGGACCAGAGCTGCCAGGCATCAACTTTCTTTTTTGGGGGCAGAGAAAGCCTCCTCCCCCACCCCAGCTCGCCTAGAATTACACCCAGACCCAGGGTGTTCCTGTCTCTAGCTGCCACGGGGCTGCAGGAGGCGGATACAGTGGCGGCCTTTGTGTGGCTTTTGTGCGGCTGTTTTTCCAACCTGGCAGGGCCCGCGCTGCCTTAGACCATGCATAGCTGTCTTGGAGGCATGGGGAACCCGGCCCCAGACAGCTAGCCACGGCGCAGGGGCTTGCTCACACGGCCTGCCCAGGCATCCAGAACCCATGGGACGCCCAGGTGGCCATGAACCTGGCTGCAGGGGAAGGGGGGAAACCCTTCTCGGAGGCGTGGCCTCTCAACCAAGCCAAGTGTCTGGAGGAACCCAAGAAAGGGCACTCATTTCACAGGGGAAACAGGCCAGGGACATGGAGGGTGAAGCACAGCGAGAACATCTGGAGAGTTTGGGGTCGGCTTCCAGACAACTCCGAAAGTCCCTGGGAGGTACTGGGATTCGGTTCTATCAGGTGAAGCTGGAACATTTTATGGAGATGGGGTAGTCTGTACCTGCTCCATCCAGCATAGGAGCCACCAGGCACACGGGCACTTAAAACGGCACCCTGGAAATTACATCCATACCGTTAGCAGTCGCTCCCCATGGCCCTGCCTCCCAGGCCGGGCCACCACACACCTCTGGGTAGAAAAGATTGGGGCTCATCCATCATGGTACTGTTTCTCTAGTCACTCTCTGCAGACTGCTCAGCCTGTAATCCCAGCACTTTGGGAGGCCGAGGCGAGTGGACTGCCTGAGCCCGTGAGTTCAAGACCAGCCCGGGGAACTTGGCAAGACCTGGTCTCTACAATAAATCAAAAATTAGCCAGGGACATGGTAGTACATGCCTGTAGTTCCGGCTACTTGGAAGGCTGAGGCGGAAGGATTGCCAGAGCCCAGGTTGATCCTGGGGTGGCCGTGAGTGTGCCACTGCACTCTAGCCTGGGCAACAGAGTGAGACTCCAACTCAAAAAAAGGGGGAGCGGGGCTGGTCTGGTCAATTTTTAAATTGTATTAGATTAGCAATTGAAAAATAAGCACACAATTCTTGGAAAGTTTTTATGTAAGTCTACACGACTTGGATACATGAATCTTTTTTTTTCAAAAGTAAATTTGATAAACTCTGAATACAAATCAAAATATTTTTGATAAAAATGCAGCATCTAACTTGGATAGGGTGTCAGAGTAAAATATATCCGGGTCCCAGGTGCAGTGGCTCACGCCTATAATCTCAGTGCTTTGGAAGGCGGAGGCAGGAAGATTGCTTGAGGCCAGTTCGAGACCAGCCTGGTGAGACTCCATCTCTACAAAAAATATTTTAGAAACTTAGCTTAGCATAGTGGTATGCACCTGTAGTCCCAGCCACTCAGGAGGCTGAGGCAGGAGGACTGCTTGAGGGCAGGAGGACTGCTTGAGCCCAGGAGTTCGAGCTTACAGTAAGTTATGATCATGCCACTGTACTCCAGCCTCGGTGACAGAGGGAGACCTGTCTCTAAAAAAAAAAAAAAACAAAAAAACAAATAAACTAAAATAAATACACTCCTGAGTTAAAAAACTTAGTACAAAGAAATTAATATAAAGTATCTCAGTAACTTTGTGTATTGATTATGTGTTGAAATGGTCATAGTTTAGATATACAGAGTTAAGTAAGACATGTTAATCTTGCCTGTTTCTGTGTGCTTTAAAAAAATGTGGCTACTAAACAAATGTTAAATCACCAGTAAAGCTGGCTTTCTGGTTTGAAGGCACAGCGATGCTAAGAGCAGTGGGAGCCATGGAAGGTTATGGAGAAGAGGAAAGGTCCAACCCCAGAGGAGACAGGTGACACAGGTCGTCTGTAAGAGAGGCAAGAAGCAAAGCACAGAAGGCCCCTATGTGCAGGGACGGGGTAAGGGAACAACAAGTCTGCAGAGGAGGGCTACGCAGGAGGCAGAATGACGGGTAACAAGATCACAGAGGCACTTATGAAAACAGGTCCAGGGCCTACAAAGGAGAGCTGCGGGAAGAGCAGTTTGAGGCACGCTGCCCGTTTCCTCTGACACACAGTAACAGAAATGCAGAAGCAGGCCCCAAGCCTCTGTCCCAGCTCACCCCCAGCTCAGCTCCTGGCCCTCCCAGACGGCTGGGAACCCCCAACATCTGCTTCTGGCCACGACTGCGCTCGTCGAAACTTCCAGCAAAGGGTGCCAGGGCACTCTGGACAACGTAAATCCACACTGGGTGTTCAAAGACTCACTGTCCCTTCCTGTTTCAGGAAGGAGACAGACCCAGACCTACCCACGCGATTTACTATGAAAACTGACTCATAAAAAAATCACGAGACCAGCAAACGCCGGAGCGGACAGGAATCCTTAAATGGCCCTTGGGTCGGGACTGCAGGCCCTGCGCCCGGGAGGGGGATCAGGGTCTGAGGCGTCCTAAGTGCGCACGGTCTGGATCTGGCAGTGGGATTCCTCCACCCAGAAACCCCTGCTCTCCTTCCAACTGGTGGGGGTGGGAGCCGTCCCCCGTGACCTTTCAGGGATGGGAGGCCCTGCCCACCCTCCTTCTTGACTGGGGACCATCTAGAATGTCACGGCATTGCCTCTTTAGAGCCCTGCCTTTGGATGAAACGGCCACACAAACACATTTATAATCCCAAAAAGGAGGACCCATGGGTCAGAATAGGGAAACAAACAAACAAAAAAAACTCATAGCCCGCCAACTTGAACATTCTCTAAATAAATTCCATAGCCTTCCTTCCCTCAGACCCCAAGGCCAGGAAATGCCACTGCAGTGAGGCCCATTTCTTGTTCTTGTTTTTCCTCATCCATTTCTTTTTAATTTGGCTTCCTCCGGGGACAGGAGGCCCACCTACCACCCACTCCCCTGTCTCCATCCCCCTCCTCGTTACCCCCCCATAAAATGCAAGAACAGCAAACAGCAATTCGTCCCGCTCATCCCCAAAGACACACACACACACACATTTTTTCTCTCTCTCTCTCTTTCCTGCTCCAGACTGACTCTACAGAAGTTTCACTGCCCAAGTTCAAGCGACCTGGGTGCTGGCACCCTAGCAGTTAGGTCTCATATCTGCCCCTTTTCAGGAACAAACTGGAAGCCATTGGAAAGGGTTTAACAAGATGGCAACCCTACAGCTTTGCCACATAACAGTACAGCCTTGGAAAATGGAAAATTATGTTGATGGCCCTAGGTGACTGAGCAGGCATCACACTGGCCAAGTCAGGGTCCCAGCAGAGTCCAGGTTGCCATGGTTACATGAAGCATCATGGGAGGGGGAATAAAGGAGCAAACAACTGAGTCTCCTTCCTCCCTCTCCTGTTGTTTAACTTTGTGATCAGGCCCCAGAGGGTGGTGTCCATGTGGAAGAATGAGTTGAAGGAGGTTTTGTACCCACTTCCCACCTGTCCCAAAATCCACCAAGAAAATGCAAACGGCTGGAGATTTCTGTGCTCGCCATCTCAGAATGACTCATTTATTAGCTACCTCCAAGTCCAGAGAGAGGCATCCCAAATCCATGTTTTAGGGATGGGAAATGTGACCAGGCCTGGCTTTGTGGGCATATGATCCAGGCAGCCACACTGGGAAGGGGCCCAGGTTTGGTTTCATGCTCCACCGTGGCCTTGAAATCCTCAATCCTTTCCGATCCTCAGTCATTTCCGCGGGGTACTGCAGCCCAGACTTAAGCAGCTGAGAGGAAAAGGAAGCATTTCCCACCCATGGAGAATCAGGCCTTTCCCTGGGAACGGCCATGCCCAGTTGTGTGAACCTGGCCCCCACTGGCTCATCTGTAAAGACCCCTTGGGATCCTGGGGTCCCTTCCAGCTGAAAACATCCCATACTCCAA